TGCAACTGCTATTACAGATATCCTAACCCAATCATTAGTAACAGTTGCCATAATACAAATATTATATAGGTGATTATTCAAATTTTCGCTGTCGATGGGATTTGAACACCCAACCTACCACTTGAGAGGTTAACAACCTGACCACTTTACTAGGTTGCCACATCTCTACGAATGCTAATTTATTATACATACAGTACATATATTACTAGATAATTTTCACATATTTAAATGATTCTAATTGTTTATTTCATACTGTAGTTATTTTTGCAATCATAATTCAGAGTATTGCAATCAGAGTTATCAAAAGCTATGATCAAAATTTAAATAAAGTTAGCAATATTAATAAAATATTACATACAGTTTGAATAAATTTTCGAATGCATCATAACTAGAATTTGCAATGTTATCATTTCAAAGCATTGACCACATTTTCACTGCTGCAACAACCTATAAATTTACTAAATGCAATACTGATGCTCCTCACATCTCCTATTCTTGGTTTTGCATGACAACGTTGCACAGCTATCTTATTGTTTCATACAGTACAGGTATAGACTCAAATAGGAATAAAAGATATACATGCATTTATTCATATATGTAATACAAAATTCATGTTAATCATTACATTATTTATGACCTGAACAAGCTTTTTTTTCTTTCAGGGTTTGCATTACTTACCAAATAAATATCTAATAAATGGCATTATGGCAGCTTGTATCCAAACCAGAATTGACAATATATAATTTAACCAAACATATAATTATAAAAAAATATGATCTTTATTATAAATCAACATTGATGTTAAAAATATTATCTTTTTAAAGATAACTATTACTAATATCTAATTGCTCTCACATATGAGTGCTGCTAAGGAAAAAGAACGCCTCCATTTTTAAATAAATATTAAAATTACATTAACTTAAAAACGAAGGCTCTCTTTCTATTGGCATCATTCATATGTCCAATTGGGATTGAAAAAATTAGATACAGTAAAATGCCAACTCTGAAAGTATAAACTGCATTCCCAAAGAATAGTCTTGTGGTTTTAACTCATAGCACTAAAAAATGTGATCATTGGCCTAGTTTGGAGCATTAATCTAAAAAAAGGTGCAAAGAAATATAAATTAAATTAGCATTAGAATTAAAAAAAAATAATAATAATTTAGATAAAAAGAAAACATTGTATAATTTAATATTCTTCAAAGACAAAAATATGATTAGTACTCAACAAAAGGATGAATCGCACTCATATTCCTATAAGATCTTGAAATAAATAACAGGTGTAGGCATCATTCTAAAAACCAGATTTAAAAATGACAAACTTGATTTTGAATAATACTATGGACATCCTACAACTCAAATTATATTAGTAAGCAAATAACATAGTAACAATAAGGACCAAAACTTTAATTTATTCCAAAATGCATGTAGGCATACTATATAACATGCTGATGTCTGGTATTTCAAGATTTTGTAGTAAATGAAAGTGGAAAAGTCTTAAGAATAACAAAATTCATGTAAAAATTATAAATAAATAAATAAGTGATAGGCTCATCTTAATAGTTTTTAGCATTTTTTGTCCTTTCTTTCAATTTCATATTATATTTTTTAAAATTTTATTCTATTATGATCGTGGGAAAAAATAAAGATAAGGTCGTTTTTGCTGAGAATTTGCATAATGATCAATGAAAGTTGATATGTGATTATTATTATGCCAATTCCAAACTTACTCAAAAGAAACTTGCAGAGTGGGCAAAAAATAAATTTAATTTATTAAAAGCTTTAGGTCAAAGTACAATTTCTGATATTCTGAAAAGAAAAAAAAAATTTAATATGATGTTTACAACTGATTTTGAAGTTAAAAAATGCCGCATTGTTATGTTTCCTGAATTAGATACTGCTTTGGCAAATTGGGTTTTACAATGTGAACATCAGGCTGTATGTCTAAATGGAGATATAATTAAAGTCAAGAATAAAAAATTAGCAGATTTAATAAAAATTCCAGAAAATAATCAACTGAAATTCTCAAATAGATGGTTGCAAGCTTTTCAGGAAAGATATAATTTTCATCACTTTAGGCTTTACAGTGAGAGCAGCTCTGCTGATACTGCTGCCATCGATCTAAACCTTCTTAATATTATTTGTACAATCAATGAATACACCTTACACAATATCTACAATATGGATGAGACAGGTTTATTCTATGCAATGGCTCCTGATCGTACTATCACATCTCACCAAATTGAAGAATCAAAAAAGGACTGCACATGACTTATGATTGCACTTATGTCTAATGCTAATGGCACACACAAGCTTCAACCCTTCATTATTGGTTATGCTAGAAAGCCTAGGTGTTTTAAAAAAAAAACTGGGGAGCAACTTGGATTCTATTATCGCAATAATCTAAAAGCTTGAATGACTGCTATATTTTTTCAGATAATAATCAGATAATTAGTCATATTAGCAACTAGTTGACTAAGCAAATTATTAAATATTGCCTATGTACTGTATGGCCAAGAGAATATTAACAGTTTCGTAGTGATGTAATACCATGAGTATTTATTATATTAGCCTATTGCTACTTAAAAAAAATAAAAAAAAATAAATAAATAAATAATAAAAATTAAAAATTAAAAAAATTAAAAAAAATTAAAAAAAAAATCTAAAAAAAAAGAATTATTAGTCTGTATTGGCTCTGTTAAAATAGGTTTGTACAAATAAAATTATTTTTATTGTATTTTATGATATCAGATTAATAAAATTATTAAATGAAATTATGACAATATTTTTATCAATTTTATCAAAAATAGATTGAAAAATTTAATAAAGAAATGAGAAAATCAAATCGTCATGTCTTACTCATCATAGATGGTGCCTCCTCACATGTTACTAGTGCAGTCAACCTAACCAATATAAAGATACTTAAACTACCTCCAAATACATCATCAAAGATACAGCCCATGGATGCTGGTATTATTGCATCTTTCAAGCTTTACTATTGTCATATGCAACTTCAACATGCAATTGATCATAATGAAGCTAGAACAATTGATATATATAAAGTTAACCAATTGCAAGCTATGAGATGGATAAAGGTTGCATAGGATGAAGTATCTGCTAGAACAATCACAAATTGCTGGTTCTATACAAAAATTATATCTCTTCATAATGAAGACAGAATGCTAGTTGTTGTGTTCCCTCCTGTTGCCTTACTTTCTCCAGTTGCCTTACCATCTCCTGTTATCTCACTCTCCCTTGTTACTTTGCCTTCTCCTATTGCCTTGTCTTCTCTTGTTGCCTTGCCCTCTTCTATTGCCTTACCTTCTTTTGTTGCCTTGCTTTCTTTTGATGAAAATACAGAAGAAACATTTGTTGATTCAGATTATGAATTGGCTATCAAGAAGCTTTAGCAAATACTGGATGCATTAAATATTTGAAATCCATTGCTAATTAAAGATTTGTTAAAATTTGAAGAAAAAAATATAGAGGTACATCAACAATTTAATGATAAAGACCTTATTAAAGCTGCTACAGAAATCAAATATATAGAAAATGAAGTTGTTATAGAACCCTTAACTGGAAAAGAACAGTTGGATATTTTGTGCAATGTTTTGAGAATCGTCGATAAGAGAATTGATAATAGTGGGGTAACAATGAGGTCTTTGTGCAAGCTCCAATTGTGTATTCATGAGGAGGTCTGAAAGGAAGAGGCTAAAAAACAGGTCCAAACTATGCTGAATTGATTCTTTTAAAAGCCTAAATAATAAATAGCATCATATATTCTTATTTTAGAAATAAATCAATATTGACTTATCAGATAATGTTTCTTTTTTTTACAAATATATAATAAAAAAAAAAAACCAGTTTACAGGATATTCTTTAAATTATACTTTGAATAATATATAAATAAATGCAGTTATTAATAGGTATAGTGTGTTGATTATACAATGTCTGACTTCGTGTTAAATGTTAAGCATGTAGTCACATTCATGCTATGTAAACTGGTGTCTACTATAAATTTATCTATTGCTATAATTTACATATGTATGTACATATGTTGTAAAGGGAAAAATTCATCCAAAATCGACATCAAGATGACTTGGGTCGATCAATCACTGAAACTTACAAAAATAGTAAAATCTGCCAAATTTGGCAAATTTGGAAGATTTGGTAGTAGTAGATTTAGTATGTAGAAGTCAACATATACAGTAGATATAGTAGTAGTAGAAAAATGCTATGTAAATTAATTACCAAAAATTTTACTGTCAATAAAAGTAACTCTCTTTGAGTTCATAACTATGAAAGCAAATAAGTAATAGTTCTCTGAAAGTCTCTACTTGACATAGAGTCATTAACATATATCGTTTATCATATTTTCTTGTTTCTGTGATTTGCATGAGACCTATTATCATTAGTAAGCTAAAAGTAAAAAAGAAGTCATATTAGTAATAGACCACTTTTATATAAAAACAATTAAATTGATTAAGTTTGTGATTAACCACATTCTTGATAACCAAATACTTAAATTGTGATCTTGTGACATATGACATTGCAATTTGGAACCCGAAAGTCAGTTGAAACTTAAATAGTAGACACTATACTAAGTAGGTATTAGTAGAGAGAGACTAAAAGTAATAACTGTGTTGGGATTAGCAGTAAATCCAAGTATAATGAATAAGAACAATTCAGGATTGGCTTCGTAACTGTTACAGTAATCATAACACCCTATTCTCAGGCCATATAAACCACACCTCAACCAAAGCCTACAAATTAGGATGTAAAGAAATGATTTTAATAGGTTGAGTGATAGATTCTTGTTTCATAGCAATCCAGCTAGACCAGTTTTATTTTTTACCTTCACAACATGTATATAGTAGAGGCAAATCAAGGATTTTTTAAAACTACTACACAGGCTACATAGCCTATATATCCTACGCAGTCTATATGTCCCTAGTTTTTTGCACCATAGTAGATTTTTAATTTTAATTGACTGTTTTATATAAACAAATTACATATCAGCCTGCTGCTAGTAGTGTGTTTTCTATATTAATTATATGTACAGTTTTAGTTTGAATACTTTTTATAAAATGCTACTTTCATTATCCATTAAAATACCAGATCTATCTGAATCTTTTTTTGCAAAACACTAGCCAGCATTATATAAACAGACCAGAGTTATAATAGCTAACTCAGTTATAAAAATTACACTATGTAGTCTCTTTAAAATACTATGTAGCCTATATAGTAGCCCATCTCTAGGTAGCACAAAGAAATTAAACACATAAAATATTAATTAAGTTTATGTGATTTGATTGGATAAATGTCAGATGATACTATCTGCAAATCAGAAATTTAGAAATTAAGACTACTGGATATTGGAAATGGCAGGTTATCAGATATTACTTATGGAACAGATATGGTGAATTGATTTTTAACTGATTATAACAGGTTATCGGTTTTGACAGGATTGGTTTTGAGAGGGTTAACTGTATTATTATTAATTTTATTTTTATATAATATATTTATATATATATTTTATGTACATATTAATTTAGATTTTTTTTTAGTATTAAGATAACTTCTTTGATCTTTTGACTTTATTAACATATTTTTAGAAATGTAGTTCTATAAAGAGTTATTACAAAAAAAGTGTACAATTGACCACTCATATAATTTTCTATATTACTTATTTAAGAAGTTCATCTAATATTCTCTACCAATTGTTATATCTAACTCTTCTGTCTAGATGTTTCATTATAAACCTTCTGAACCTATTATATATTATTTTATTAAATTAAGCTTAGATATTTTATCTTAATCTTAGAATATTTTTATTCTTAAGATAAACTTTCTAAAATCTAATTTATATTTATTTTTGTAACTGACTCAAGTATTACTATAGCAGAACATATACTTGCAATCAGAATTAAACATTAAACTACTATATTTTTATAGAGTTCATCCAGATATCAATACTTACTTTACAATATATTTTTAATACTTTAGTATACTCTTGCTTCTTTTATCAAACTCCCAATTCAAATAGTCTATATAGAACTACAATCAGTTTATTAATATATCAAATTAATCTAATATCCTTTTCTTTCAATCTAATTTAGTAACCTAATTGGTAATACTTCTAAGACTTTCAATCTAAAGATTTTTACCTATTTAACTACTTTAACATTGGTATCTATTTTTTAGATCTAGACTTTACAGTAATATTGTTAAAGATCCATGTTATCTTTCTATTTAGATCTTTTCAAATAAGTTTTTATTTCTCAATTTCTATAGATTTACATGACTACAAGAACTTATCTTGAGTTTGCATTGTCTAATATTAGTTTGCATTTTTTTGTATAACTAATTACACAGATGTTCAATAATCTGCTAGTCATATTGATTTGATCATAATTACAGATATCTTAACCTAATTATTAGAAACAATTGACATAATACAAGATTACATAAATAATTATCTAAATTTTTACTGTTGATAGAATTTAAACATATAAATTTATTAATTTATATACTTGTACTAATCAATATATTTTTTATTTAAACACATAAATCAGAAAATTCACAAACATGCAGATATGAGTTACAAATTGCAGAATTGTGTATCTGAAAAAAATCATGTGATAGATGATTGACAAAACCTAACACAGATTTTTTGAATGCATAGTATTTTAACTCAACAAGGAATACAATGAAAATTATAGTCAACAAGTGCCAGTTCAAACCTGGCAACCCTCAACTGCAACCTAAATGTCAAATCTTTGACAATCATTTCATCAACCCAATAAAAAATACTACAAAAAAAAAAGGAAAATCCTTAAAATCTAATGAACATATGCGATAATTCACATCGGGCCACCAGTATTTATGTTAAAAAATCATCCTTTTACCACCATTTATTATAACATCTCTAATTTAATGGTGTTCCGGGTTTTATTTTCATTCATCTTATATACGTATGGTAGACATAATATACGTTCACGTGTATAAACACAGGTGCAATAGTCAAGCCGCCGGTATAAGGTGTGAAATGACATGCGAAAAATAGGCAACGCATAACAATACGTGATGAATAGAATCACGCGGACCAATCAAGTGCTGAGAATCGCACAGACATATTAACTTGCCTGTAAACCATACACTACGTTGTACGTTGTACAAACTCCGTTCCTGGTATAAAAATTAATATTTTCAAAATTTTTAAACAAATTATAGAGAAATTGCAGTAAAAATTAAGGTATAATTTTGGCCGTTTAACGTTAAGTATAGGTGAAAACATTCCGATTAGAAAGTCAAAAGACGAAATTGTTCGGATCACGTTATTCTAAAAGCCGCAATATTATTGGCAAGTCCTCATCACGCCTGTGGAACGTGACTTACAGGTTTTATTAAATATATTCAATCAAGAGATCATATACATCAAAGTCATGAAAATAAAAAAGCTTAAATTACGCCCAAGAAGAGTTGAACAAATTGGCTCTTGTACTGCTGAACTTGCCGCGGTTTTAACTTGTTGGTCTAATAGCTCAGTGGATTCTCCAGCTTGCAAAAAATCTGTGGAAGCTCTTACTGAATGTATGCGTAATTCTGTAAGTACGCAATTTGTTTTTTTAAAGATATGGAAATTTTAATAGCTAACGGTGTATAAATTTAATCAAAAGCCGAAAAAATCAAATCATTCGAGCACTATTAATTATCATCTCGCAAGACTAGGAAAGTACTTGTGATTTTTCCGGCCATCTGCTAGTAACGAAAACCGTATGCAATGGTCAACGGTACCAGTACTGATTTTATTGTATAAAAAAATTATGACCTTTTATAAATAAAAGCTATTAATAGATTTATCGCAAAGTAACATCCAATTTTTCAACGACCGACTTTCTTATTTTATCCTGAATTCCGTTGATTTCTTCGTTGGTAAAAGTTCTAACCATCAATTTGGAAATTTAGTTTGATAAATAAGAAACATGGTTGACCAAATAATTGTTGAAAGCTAACCTATCCATAGATCTGTAATTGATTCTAAAGCATAAACTTCTTTTTTTTGTTTTAGGATGCTTAAAATCATCGATCTAAGGTTAAATAAACACATTTAGTTAGCGTACAAACCTTTAACCCTATAAAAATGTTAATAATTACCAATTTTACATCTTCAACTAAGTCTTCGGCGATATCCCTTACTATTTCACAAAAATTAGTTATGTGAAATTCATGCTCCTTGTCATTATTCATCCAAAAACTTAGATCCTTAATACATGAAGGATATTTTGAGAATGGTTTAAATTTAATAATTTCATTAGAAATAAATTGATTGGTAAATCGTGGATCCTTCGACCAAAAGAGACGTATATCTGGTATATTAAATAACACCATTGCTATGCGTTCCAAACCCAATCCAAATGCCCAACCTATTTTATCAGGTTGCCCTTTTCGCATAAAAAAAAGTTAATATATTAATAGGAAATTAATCATATACAGTCAACATTCTCTAAGTGCATAGTCAAGAGCCTATAAAAAATCTTGCATTTAGAGAGGTAAAAATCTATAAGGTCATATAAGTTAGAGCCATGGCAAAGTCATGCATTTAGAGAGGCTATGCATTTAGGGAGGTTGCATCAGAGGTCTGACTGTATTTTTTAATAAAATTTTATAGTAGGTTTACAGTATTTTAATTACCGGCATTATTCAAAATGTCTTGATTTATAACACCACACCCGCACACTTCAAGCCATTTTCCTTGATAGAATATTTCCATCTCCCAACTAGGGCTAGTGAAAGGAAAGTATGCATCGACCCACCTGACTTGTAAATTTTGTTCGTCTATAAATAACTTTCTTACCAATTCATTCAATGAATACTTCAGATGAGAAATTGTTGCGTTAGCAGCCTCAACAGGGTGACAAGGTTGTATGGGATTTGTGGAGCTAATAGCAGTTTTATCATAAGTATTTATAAAATGATTTTGTTGAGATGCGGTTTTTTGCATATCATAAGTTATTTCTTCAACAGCTTTATTGATGGAAAAAATTTGAGCGCCTTCCATTTGATGAAAAACCGGATAATGACACGTATCTATTTCATCCCTTCGATAAACATCAGCACTTATCAAAAACCTTTCAGTGCCAGTTTGGAAAGCCTGACGTTGGTGGGCAGAGGTATGAGTTCGAAGCATTATAGAATTGTTAATGTAATAACTATCACTAGTACTTCTTCCTGGATGATCGGCAGGAAAACCAAGTTCATCAAAATTCTGAACTGTTGTCACAATTGGACTAAATGAATTAAAATAATGGAATTTATCAAAATGAGATTCTATATGATTACGGAGAATTGATATAGGATGATATGGTTGAAGATATAATCGACGCGTCGTTTTGGATAGAATTGAAGATGTCACGTTCGTTAATTTATCACATGGATAAGCACGTCCTTCCACATAAATAATTTCATTAGTAATATAAGGCTCATTCGTTTGAATGTAAGTCGTATAGTGTCGTCTATAGTTGATAGACGAGACCTTTACGCGATGACGAAAGACGAAACCTAAAGCCGGTGAAAGATAAATGTTTTTATTGAATGTCGAATGACAAGATGATAAAACCCCCTGGAGAAATACAAAACCTTTAATGAAACCAAAAGTTAAACTCGTTTTAGAATACATTGCCGAGTCGAATGTTAGAGGCTATAAGTAAGTCGAGTCAGTATTTTAGACTAAACGGTTCATTCACGTGATGATAATCACTGAAAATCTGAAAATCTGTTGGTCAAAAAAATAACGGTATGTCAATTTTACGTATTACATAATACAGTATATAAAGGGAAATTTTTATAACTTTTTTTTTAAATCCAGATTAGCGGATTAAAACATTTAGATAAATTAGTTTATTTTCATATTACAATAATAATGTGTTAAATTTCAATAATAGTAACAGATTTTTAGAGGGTACATATTCAACCGTTTTGACCCGGTTGAACCGTTCTGACACGGGTGACCAGGTTTACTATAACCCGGTTCTAAACTCTAGCCTGCCCGACCTGCCCATTCCGCATCCTACATCAAAGTTGCCTTTAATGTAATAAATTGGAATGGTTTGAATTTAATGATAACACCTTCGGTTGAATGATAATCCGTTTTAATTTCTTTATCCTCTAAAATATTTGTTTCACAAAGTTTTTCAAACAAAAATGAACTATATATATATATATAATGCAAATGAAATATGATTTTGGTTACTTATAGCATACAAGTATAAACTCGTAAGGCTTTTAAATAGAAAAGTGCACACACCTTTGTAATTTAGCTGTGGCGTGTCCACCATAAGCTTCATATAATCGTAAAACTAATTCATTTGAGTCTTCTGCACGCTTAATTGTGTCCAAAATTACATTCGGTGCACCTTCAACAGTGAAATATGATTTTGGCTCATATGAAAGAGTGATTTCCTTGGAAGTGGCCCTATTTTAGAAAATAACAGTAATGAATGAATAATTGAACCAGTCAATAACAAATATTCTTATGAACAAAATAGAGTATAGTAACCTCACAAGTAACGGTACATTAAATTGATACGCTTCACGAACAACATTCGATTCTAGGAAGGATCCAGTATGTGGAAGCAGTGCATATTTGAATTCGTGGACTCCAATGTCACAATAATCATCTGGTGCCTATTAATAATAATAAATTAGGTGCTTAAGCCATTTAGATAACTTAAGAAATTGCACAAACCTTTGGGGACCTCAACAAAGATAAACGCATAACATTTCCATGAGTAGCATAACCTGTTCAATGAATCAAATTCCAACAGTTGTTTATTATAAAGCTTTCCGATATACTAAACATTAACTTACCATATTTACAGTCATTCAATAAAGCAATACCATAACCATACTCCGATAGATCTGCAAATTTATGACCGCAAACTTCAAATTTGGCTGTGTCCCATGAGGTATTATAATGCGTGGGACGTTGAATAAAGCCAAATTGGGTCTCATATGTGGCCTAAAGAAAAAAATCCAATAGTAAATTTGTTTATTGAATCAGTTGACAAATAAGATATTAAATTATATGAAATAACTTACAAAATCACTGTAAATATCAAATGGAAATTCTACTTTCTATAAGCAAAATGATAATCAAAATTAATCATAGTAATTTTTTAAGGTTACCCATGTAAGCAAAAGCTTCGCATTTATAGCATTTATTATCCGGTGTAAACTTTGACCTACCAAGAATTGTCTGTTTTCGTTCCATTCAACTCGTGTTTCAAAATCGAGTCTTGGAGATGTAGCAGTCAAAATTATCATTTGACACAATTTACTAGTCTTGCTTAGATTGGTCTCCAACAATAAAGCAGATCGAAGTGGTCCTTGTTCAACAATCTATTAATGATGCAAAATGTGAAATTAATTGTACTAAAATGATATAATTAAGATCATAAAATAACTTTACCTTAACGGTTCCTCCAAGGCCGGCATCACGTCCCTTTTGCAGATGATAAATCTCCACTATAAATGTAATATTAGTTAATAAACATTTAAATAAGATTTTTAGCACCCAATTTGTAAAATACACTTACCATCCCAAGCTATTATAAGAAACAATGCAAGCATTAATACCAAATAACATTTTAAATAAACTAACTTCGAAAGCAAAAAGTAACGCACCATCCCAGAATAGTGGCTAAGTGTAAAATATTAAATAAGTAATGATGCAATTGAAAAAAGGAAATCTATGTAATACTAATCACTCACAATATCCTCATAAATCTTGAATAGATTTCCACATTGCCCAGATAATATAATCTCGCGACTAAAATATCAGATTAGATTTTGAGCACTCGTTATGTTTGAAAAAAAAAAAATCTATAATAGAGATATTTACTTGAGAGCCCGATCAACCAAACTGAACAAGTGACCATGCCGATTGAATTTTGCCGTGATAAATTGATTTTCCAAACAATAACAGTCATCCTCCATTTTACAAGCTGATCAAAAACAGAAAAAAAACGGCATTTGTATTTTACATGATAAAAAAAAGTAATTTTCATCATGTTTATAAAACTTACCAGTAACTGGAATCATATCCAACCCATCTTGAATATTAATACATCGAGATCCTATTCCAACCGCATCTTTGGCTAAAGTTAACATATAAATTGTATTGTCACAATCACAGAAATTTCTTTGTATAGTTATATAATGTTAGCATAAACCCATAGTTTACCAAGTACATATCCAGAGGTTTTGTCTTCTGTATATTGAGGCAATATATCCAAACCATTGCACACAGGAACTTTAACAACTTCAGTTCTATGCCAACCAAGTGTATTAAAGACAAGAAGCCCTATAAATAGCACACAATTGTAAATTTATGTATTATAATCATTTTATTGTTCTTATGCTACAAACCTTTGTTTGAACTAGAAGCAGTGGCTGATATTTTACAAAGCTTATCAAGAGCATCTTCTAAAAGTTTTGTTCCTGTATAATTAAATGTAGTAGTTTTTCATATTAATTGAGAAAGAAACCTTAACATAAATTGGCTACGATTATTAAAAGAAAAATTACCCGTATTTTCAACTTCTTGATAAAACTGGAGTTATGATATATTTCGGTAAATTTATTTTTGATGTTAATATCGATATAAGAAACCAACTTTGAATGCCAATTTTTTTTCTTACCTTATTAGCATCATCGTATACCATTCCAATAGAAGAGCCTGGTAACACATCATGGAATTGGTTCCTAAAGTTCGATGAAATCAAATTAATCAAACTAAATATTTTAAAACTACATGTATATATTAAGCTAGATAAGAGAGATAATTACAATAACACATATTTCCACATTTTATCCAATTGCTCTTTCGGATAACTATAAAAAGCAAATTTAACAAAGTGCTAATATATTCTTTAAAGAAAAATGTACTCTCATAATTATGTACGTACCCACAATTTTCTTTCTCAGCAAGACAGAAACTATATAACATTTCAACATCTCGTAAAAGCAACTCTGATTTACGATTGTATCGCTTTATTTTTCCATGAGATGTATAAGTACCTCTGTGAAGTTCAAAGTACTAACAAATCGAGCATTTATTAGAAACAAAACGGTGACTTTAAGTGTGTAGTGTTGGAAGATACTGTATACCAACTCTCCTTTCCAAGAAACAAGCTCTGAGGAATTCTTTTCTATACTTTCGTAAAACTCATTTGCAGATCCCATATTCACTTTAGCAAGGCCGTCCTAATAATAATAATAATGATTTACTGCATATCCTTTAAGTAATAAATAAGAAAGTTTTTTAAAAATATATAGATATTTACAACATCTTTCATTCGACGTAATCGTTCGATCATAGAAGCAAGTGGACCACCACCACCATCACCGTTACCAAAGACTAACAAACCTTCATTATTATTAAGTTCTTTATCCCTATTGTTTCTAACGCTCCAAATAAGTTCGGCTGGTTTACATTGAGCCACATATCTTATTATCAAGATGCATGACATTAAAGTTACAAAGATTTTGAAATTGATGAAACAAAACGAATACAAGCATCAAGTAGCCTACGTTTCAGAAGGGCACATATGAGTCAAAACCTAACAGCAAAAAATATAAACATTGGTACCAGTTAAGACTTAGTAATTATAATTCGATAAAAATTGGTATTTCTTACCTTACTACCATCCAGTCCAATCCAAAAGAAAGTAGTATTAGGAAACTATATAGTAATTTCAAAAGTGTTAATCAAATTATAAAGTTTTTGCTAATAATACTACAAAGTAAAGAAAATACCTTGTTAATATTGTTCCATGATAATTTTTGAGTAAAAAAATATTTCATATCTGCAGCCTTGATAATTTGTGGTAATTGTGCAGAATAACCAAAAGTGTCAGGAAGCCAAAATACTTCACATTTATGACCGAAATTCTTTTCAAAGAAACGCTGTCTAAATAGTATTATAGACCGTTTAGAAAATAACCGAATATATTAAGCAGGTCAAAGATATAGCCATAATGATAGTGAATTATACCCATATAAAAATTGCCTACAAAATGCTTCACCACTAGGAATATTACAATCCATTTCGACCCATGTCTTTAAATAAATATAAAATAAATAAATATTATATGCATGTATAGACAATCAAATAATAATTAATCAATAATTAATCCACTAAAAGTCGTAATTAATTGTACTTACACCACCAATGGGTAAGAATTGACCTTTAGCAGATTTATCCTGCACTTTTTTAAAAAGCTTTGGATAATATTCCTTCAACCATTCAAATTGTTGTGCTTGAGAGCAAACAAATTTATATTCAGGATAAATGTCCATTAAACCAACTTGTGTGGACCAACTCCGGGCAACTTTTCGCTTTGTCTCATCATAAGGCCTAGAATAATTAAACTCAAAATCAGTAAGGTATTAAAAAATACATCTTCATCTTACAACTTACCATAACCAAGCAGTATCAATATGACAATGCCCAACAGCGGTCAAGGTATATTGAGTACTACCGTTTTTGTGTTTCAAAAATTCATTGGAAATTTTAAGCGCCTCTTGGATAGAATTATTATCACCTGGCTGAAAAGCATTAACTATTTTATTAGCAGCATTGAGTGCTTGTGCCGATCTCATGGTATCATGAGGAATTTCTTTTGCCATATCGAGGATAATTTGGAAGTCATACATAAGCTGCCAAGCATCTTGATTTGGGACTGCCAATTCTACTTGACGAAGAGTAAAGTATCTATTTGGATCAGGTGGATTGATATCACTACCAATCCCATTTCCAAACATGCCTGTTTTGTGTAAAATATATAAATAAATGAGATTAATATACAATGTAATTAAATAAATAAAATTAAGAGAACAATTACCGTTACAAGCCACCTCAATATAGAATTCGAATTTATCGCCACCCTTTGAACTACGCGTAAGTACATAATCTACTCTACGATTATTATCATCTATATATGACGCACACACGATTAGCTTGATTATAAGTTTAAATTTAAGATTGTAACCTTTCCATTAATACTCACCACAACCAGTAAGGCCTTGAAGTGGTGTTCCATCTGTAGTCCATACCATTCCTTCGCTACTTGAGTCCCATAAAAATTGAACTTCCTCACCGATCCAATCATCAGGTACTCGAACATTGATACGAAACCAATGAGTAGACTGTAGAAAATTATTGACTAATTATTAAAGACGTTTTAAGTTTAATAATGATAAGTTACTTAAACATGCAAGACGTTGTCTGACGAAACTATTTTGCAGTGAGTTTGTAAAGAAACATCTCTTTTGTATAGTTTAGTTCTTACCCAGCTTGGACCAAAAGAATCACCACGTTTTGCAGGTTTGTAATTAGCTTTAACTGCCTCTTCAAAAGTAATTCGTTTGAGGTCTGGAACATTATACACAGAAAATTTAATGTATTCATTCGATTCAGTGCATTTTTTATATAGCTGTGAGTATAAATTTATGTCAGAAAAAAAATTCTTTGACAAAAATTTTTCACAACGCTCAACAGTTATATTTCGAGTGACACGGGGATATGAAGACATAGTTTCTAATTACATTGATAATCGAAGTAGAAGATCCTTTAACTGTTATATACCTTATTTTAAAATTTGTCGATCTTATATCACGTGGTTACAGGATTGTCTAAAATTCAAGATATCCTGGAGACGTTTCCAATTTTAGAGAAATTTAAAGTTTTTAAAGTTTATCGTTATAAAATTTTACAATATTACCATAAATTGTCATATTAAAAAAAGCTGGGTCCGTTACACCGTGCATTTTAAGTAAGCATTCCAGATTTTTGAAAAATCAGAGGTTAACTAATTAATACTGTAATAAAGACGCTTTGGTTTGCACGTGGGTTTAATTTATGGAGGTCTTCTATATAACGATAACCATTTATGGTAAAATTTTGAATCTAGAACCAGGAATGACTGTCCATATGTGAGGTCCAAAGGACAATTTCGAATTCTATGAATCTAATGAATTTTTAATAAAGATCTAAGGCTTTAAATCATGATACCTAGCCATGGCGAAAACGAGGTGTCGGGTCATGTGATTTAGACGCTGGTGAAATTAAATCTGAGTGGTGAAATGATTTCACCACTTCACCAATCACTAATCGGTATTGATGTAATTGGTGAAATTGGTGAAATGGTGAACCAGTGAAATGATGAAATAGTAGTCATAAGGTCTGCTGTACTAAAGCAGAAATGAACAGGTATAGACGTATGAATGGAAATAAGAATATTGATAATCATATAAATAAGTATAGAGAATAAAAGTAGTCAAAGATTAATCATTAATAAATGAACGTTTCAACATTTTTATTCACCATTTTACTATTTTATTATTTCATCATTTCACCAATCACCGTTACACCATTTCACCAATTCTAGGGATGTTAAGTGTTCCAAAGAACTTAAGTTCTAGACTGTTTTTATTGAGGTTTTTAAGTAGTTAGTTCGGTCTTTTTTGGGACTTCAGTTCAAAACTTAAATTAGAAAAGAATTAAGTCTCAAACTAGTTTATAGCTCTTAATTTGATAAATGGTTTTTGTTTAATTGTTTTATAAGGATGCTAAGCATTCTAAAAAAACTTAAGTTCCAGACCGTTTATTGAGGTTTTTAAGTAGTTAGTCAGTCTTTGTTTGGGACTTCAGCTCAAAACTTAAATTAGAAAAGAATTAAGTCAAATTAGTTTATAGTTCTTAATTTGGCAATTGGTTTTTGTTAATTGTTTTACGTACCATATTATTTTAAAATATCATTCAGGTGTAAATTAAAATTTTTGACTTATATTAAGCTTAATTTGGCCAAAATTTTAAGCTATACCTGGAGTGTTATTTTAGAATAATAGTTATTATTTCTTATTACAGAAAATTGATTATTATCTGAACTTCTTTTTTTTTTTTTTGCTTTTACTAAGGTTGATGTTAATGGTGGTTACCATCTTTATTGGATTTTTAATTATATATATGCATATAACTTGTACAAGAATGAGCATACAACTAGTTACTCTTGCAACTTTTGATTGCTTATTTAAGTAGTTCATTTAAAGGTTTTACATTAGATATTATATTTGTAATCTGCTAAAAGATTACTTATTTAAACATTTTGATTTTGTATTATATCAGATGAGTAATATTAAAATTTTTGTACATCTAAGTATTATTTTTTTTTATTTTTTATTTTTTTTAATATTAAAGTTCCTGCCTTTGGAGATCAATGTTTTTATTCAAGTATTTGAATACAAATGCCTCTAGGGGTTTTCATATATAGGAGGTTACAACTAGTCATATATGCACTTTTAGTACTTAATTTAAGTAGTCCATCTATACATTACTATACAGATTCTACACTAGGTGCTATATCAGCAAGTCAACTATGGGTCTTGCCTATTTAAACCCTTTGCATATGTAATCCAATTTGTGATCACAGGAATATTTTCTAGGTTACATCTATTCAAAGTATCTGATACTTTTGAGACTGTTAGGACTAGTTTATCCTTGATAGAAAACTTACTAGAACCTTTTATGTTCTATATACAGCTGATCTAGTTCTATATAACATGTTATAGTTACCTAACACTTGCAGTCACAGGAGTTATTTGTTTAATTGCTATGTTACATTATTTCTATCTTTATAAAGTTTACTAGAACCTCAGTATCTATCATCATAATGTTTTCTTCATTATTCCTTACTAATCATTACTCAGGATCAACAGAACTCTTTTGACTTTCAATTCAGATAATCTGGTATAGTATACTTATATATTCTTTTCTTCTGTCAATTCTGATAGCCTGGTTGGTTATATGCTTCTCTATATATTTTGACATTTGGTTTATTTGCCTATTCTTTTGAGGATGTTTCATAGGCTTTTATTGGTCTAATTATATTATCAAAAGTTTATTTTTTATTTTTTTTTTTCCCTTAAGCAGTCATGTTAGTGCTTTATTAAGATTTTAGAATTACATTTGCAATTACATAAATATCTTTAACTACTAAGCTCAGTATCACTTAGCCATCCTAATGATATCTAAGTGCAACCTGCTGCATTACTTCATACAGAAGTAAGCTGCTCATCCAACTACTTAAAGTCCATAATGAAAGGGTCTTCTCCCTTCTATAACAAGCTCTAAAATTGTTTTCTGTACTTCTTTTCTGATTTGTTTTTCTTTTTCTTTCGCTTTCTGTTTTTTTTCTTCTATGGTTTGCTGATTTGGTTTTTCTTTCTTCTTTGGTACTTCCTTCTCTTTTCCTTTTTTTCTTTTTATTCTACCCATTATTTCTTTGTTTTTCTCCTATTCATTAATTTTCTTGTATCGGATTCTCCATACTTGTTCGTAGAATATATCTCAGACTGTTCTTGCTATTACATTCATAAATTGCTATCTTGATTTTGTATTTAGGAGCTGTTCCAATCTGTCTTGTATTTCTTTTAGAATAAGATCTTTAATTAGTGCCTTTCTTATTTTGATTTCTTCTGCTTCTGTTTCCCCAAAAAGTACTGTATATAATATGTATGATGAAACTTGAATTTTTTCTTCTTCTTTTAACCCCTTCTAGACTGTTACGATGGTCACCTTTTGGATTCTTTTTCACAAATTTCTTTATCCTTTACATGCTGCCAAATGTGTCTGTGTTTCTTTTGTTTTATCTTAGCACATTTGGTATTCCGTTATTGTATATATGTCTGGTCTTCTTTTGTTGAGTTCTTCTAGAGTTAGAAGTTTATCCATTATGTACTTTATAAATGCACTTCTCTTGGCACTACCTCTTCTTGTTGTATAGTGTACTTTATTAGATATCTTCAGTCTATTCCAAAAGTATATTCAGTTGTGTATTATAACTTCTTCTTCCGATTCTAATTCTCTAATTGCTTTTGTTTCTTTCTATTCAGCTCCTATTTTTGCATTCATTATCAATTTGCAAAGCAGTCTTGCTGGTATGTCAATACATTCATTTTCCTACTTTAGGCAGTACTTTATCTCCTCGCAACTGACTTTTTCGACCTGTATTATCTTTTTACTTGTTGCACCTTTCTTTGCTAAACTATCAGCTTTATTATTTTATTTATCTTTACTGTAACTTTTAACTTTAATAAACTCTATCTGAATGTTCTTTGTTATAATAAGTTCTCTAATTTTCATTATTCATATTGCATTCTTCTTTTTTAGGATCTTATTTCTGCATATTTGTCCTAAAGCTCTACCAACATTCCTTATTGCCACATTGCTATCTGTATATATCCCTACTTGCTTTCTTCTTGGTATCATTAAAATTGCAACCCATATTGCTACTAACTCAGCTATCATCGATGTTTGCCATTCTTCTAAGCCTAATGCTATTTCTTCTTCTGGCTATTCTTGTGTTTCATTGTTTGCACTCACCCTATGTCTATATTATTTTTGCTTCTCATATCTTCTCTAATCTTCAGATTTGCTGCTTCATCTGTATATATTATATACTTGTTCTTGCTTCTTATTATATTTCTTTTTAAAACTTCTACTATTTCTTGACTAATGATGTTTTTTAATCTTTGTCATCTGATTATTTCTAATTCTGGTTCTTCTACATTTTTAAACCCTCAAGTCTCTATTCTCCTATCACTGGTTTGTTCATTGTTTTTATTATTTAATCTAATGCTACCTTGATCTTGTTGCTGTCTTTTTCTAGTAATGTATTCAGAATCATATTAATTCTGTTTACTTTTATCCACTGTTGGCAGCTATTTTCTTGGTGTTCTTCTTTTCTTATACAACCCTTATATCTGCTAATTTTGGTTACTAGTTCACTTTCTTTATTCTGTATTTGCCAATGTTCTACTAATATATTTTTTTTTTTTAACTATCTTTTCTAACTGTCGATTGTTCTGTGCACCATATGCTATCTATTCTTTCCTTCTTTTGTCTTCTGAAATATGCTTCCATTTTATCTGCATTGCTTATGTATTTTGTCCGATTGTTCTAAATTGCCTTTTAACTTCTCTATCTTTTGGTCTAACAAGTATTTCTAGCTCTATTGCTTTGAACCATTCTGTTTTTTTTTCCTTACTCAATAGATCTTGATAGCTTTTTAGTTGCTGCCAAGTAATTAATTTCTCTCCTTTCATGTTTATTAGTTGATTTAGATATATTAAGCCTGCTTTATTTATTTTCATACTACTTCTTTTCTGCAACTGCATATCTATAAGTTCTTTTATTTTGGTTCCATAACCAAACAATATCTATAAGTTGCCTTCTGTTCTTATATTTATATTGAGTTTCTTTGCTTTTAGCAATGTTAGACAAGTTAGATTACTTTTCCAACCTTTTATATTTTCTGGCATCTCTTCTATTTTCCATATATCTTCTATTAAACCTGCTCTCTGGCACCCTTGTGTTATTCTCAATTTTGTTAGCTGTCCAAGACTATCTTGTTTGTTTAGTCTTGCTATTAGGCCACTTATTTGTTTTGTTATTAATTCTTGTTGTAATGTTCTGCAGCTACCAAGATCTTTGTGTTCTATTATACAGTTTTTTAATGTTCTTTGCAGGTTGCTC